GTAGAGAGAGAAGGGGGAGAAGATGGAGAGGGATCTGCTGCTACCAGGGCCGTTGCCGCACATGCACCCGCTACTGCTGCCGCTGCGACACACACACATGACCCCCCCCCCCATCATCATGCAGGCATGCGTATTAACTTCGATTGACCAAAAAACAAAAAAAAGAAAAAAAAACAAACTGCGGTACAGCCAAGCAGATTACATCCGTAAAAGAATAGAGAAAAAAAAAGTAACATTGAAGGAAGCTTTCATCTCTCCCCTCCTTTTTGCTCCTCACTTCCCCCCTGTTCAACTCGTCCTGTTCTTCCTTCCTTCCCTCCCTCCCTCCCTCCCCCTCATAACTCTTGCAGTGAGCAGCTTGGCAACTTCCACGGCGCTCACGTTGACTCTTGCTGCTACTGCCGCGGCGAGGACAACGGCTTCCGTCGCGGCCGAAGCGACGGCGTGCCACTTGGCACGCCCTGCCTTGTCGGCTGCGGGGGACCGTTGGTTCGCCTTGCCGCAATGGCGGGTTGAACACAGCAAAGGTCGTACCGCCGCCACGCCTCCCGCAGTCTCGCGTCGATGATGGCTAGCGACAGCTCTTCCGGCTCCGCTCCCGCCTCCCGCGTCGGCGTCGGCAAATGAGAAAAAAGTGGGCCGCCGCGAATGCCTTACCCTCGCTAGACACGACGGGATGGGCCTCCATCAAGGCACGCATGAACGTCGTTGGCGGAACGCCGTCCCCGGCAGTCGAGACAAACAGTTGGCAGTACCGCCCCAACAATGATGCCTGCGCCGCGTCTGTGGTGACAGACAACAAACGGTACCGCGTCATCGCCTCGTGCCAGCGCCACCAAAACCCGATGGGCGACTGCTCCGTGCGGCGTCGTGCCTCCATCACCTTCTTGACGTTCTCCCGCTCCTCCATGGCGGCCCGCTGCACTGTGAGGCCTCTCCTTGTCGCCACGGCTTCTTTATGGGAAGCACGTGAGACGGCGTCCTTGGTGTGGCCTCCTGCGGCAACGCCGGTTTGGCTCGCGGGGGTCGTTGCGAAGGCTCCCTCGCTGATGTCCCTGTCGGTGTTCTCCTCCGCAGCCTCGCCGTCGCGCGAGCCAGCCGCGACAAGGTCCGCCGAGGTGCTGCGGAATAGCGTCTGCGCCAGCACAAACCACAAGCGCATTGCCGGCGGCGGCAGAGGGGCGACCTCCGTCACCCGCTCATGCGGGGGAAGTACACCCACATCCGCACCGTCGCAAATCCTCTTCTCCCTTTCTTCCTTCTCCTCCTCCGTCGCATCGAACGCCGCTGTCGGTGCTGCGTCTCCATCCACACGCAGGCGCCACTGCGTGGTGGCCGCTCCGCCGTTCTTATCAGCACGCATCGAAGGCAGTCTATTTTCACCAGGCCTCACCGCTCCGCCCTCAAGCTCGCCGAGCATTTGGTCAATCCACGCAGGGACAAGTGGGTGACCCACAAACTCTTGTGCCGCGTCACTTCGGTTCACCGCCTCACGTGTGCACGCCAGCGGGGCATCTGCGTTATACGTATGTGATAAAATAGTGGCAGTGCTGGGCGCCAGGGAGAGCGCGTTAAGAATGTGACACAGCGTTCCGCGCAGCAGCCAACATAGCGACTGTAACTGGCGCCCGCGTGTGCTAATGGCGCCGTCAGCGGCGTCACACAACTTAACTAAACGCGGCTGCAGCACCTTGTCAAGAATATCACGGGCCCGAAGGCAGATTGCAGCGGCTGAGACAGCCGTTGCTTTTGCCGTCGTGTCGCACTTGTTTGCATACGGACCGTGCGTGATTAGTGGGGGCAGCTGCTCCAGCTCCAGCAGTTCCAGAAACACCGAGAAGAGAATACCCGAGGCCACCCGCTCTAGCAGCGACATTTCCCGTTCACTATCGGGCCTTGCCGCAACTTCACCACCCAATGCAGATTCAAATCTAAGCCACATCTCGTACGCGTCACAGTCCCCCTGGAGTGGTTTTTCACCGGATTCCACCAGCACGGATGTGATAAAGACACGCAACAGCTGCTTCGCTTTGGAAACACCGTCGCGATCACAAAATGCCAGCACTGCAGCGTGCAGGAGAACCACATACGCGTTGCCTGGTTCCAGGCATCGCAGTGCTGCCAGAAGATGTACACAGACGTCAAGCCCATGCGTGGCCAGCGTCTTAATAACCCGTATCACATCGGCGTGATGCTTCTTCTTCTCATCTGCCATGGAGCCCTCCGTTTGTTCCTGCTGCCTGACAGATGTGGAGTGCGGTGAGGATACCGGCGATGTCGCGATGGAGAAAAGAAATCCCACAGCCAGTTTTAGCTGGTGCTGTGCAACATGGTAACCGATGCAAAGCGCCTCGCGCGGGGTCGTTGATAAGACGTCACTGGGCAACAAAAGTGGTGCGGCGCAGAGGTGGGCAATGCTCGCTACGTTCACCAACTGCAACAGATGCAGACTCGCCCAAGTAGCTTGAAGAAGACCCTGTGCAATGCAGAGGGAACACCCGGGTGTGAGGGACTCCACGCCCCCAAGCACGGCAGCAGGGTCGTGGGGCTCAGCTGCCAAAGCATTGACAGCACCTGATACCTCCGGCAGCGGTGTCTTCCCCACAACCCCCATCATGGCGGGATCCGTAAAAAGCGCGTAGCGTAGACACGACTGAGACGGCTTCGCCGGCGCTGACTGTAGCGCTCCCTGTGACACCACCAAGGAGTTCTTCCTGCAACCACTGCGTCGCTGGCAGTGGCTGGCGTGCCGCGGGACACGCGCGTGGTACCGTCCACGGGCCAACAACGCGCCACGCAAGGCATCCTCGTCTGCTTCACTCAACCCGTCCCACACGGATCCCGCAACGCTCCCTACGCCACGACTGTGATTACCACTACTACGACACACGTTAGTTCCCATGGCAATCCCCACCGTGTCTCGGCTCGGATGCGCACACGACACCAACCCCCGCTTCGCTCCAGTTCTTGCCAGCCCTCCGTACAAGCGCTGTTGCTTTTCCAGCTCTAGCGCACTCACCTCCCGCGCCTGCATGTCCCGCAGCATTTCCCATAGTCCCCATCGCACCTGCTGCTGCTGGCATGAAAGGAACGAGGTGCACTGGGCGGCATCCACAAACTGTGCAAGCTCCACACTCTGCTGAATCGCAAACTCCAGTGGGGCGTCAATGTAATTGTAGCAGGCCCATAAAAATTGCACAAATCTCCGTGTACGAGACTGCGTGGGAGGGGAAACACCGCTATCCACGGCGGTAGCTGTCGCTGTAACCGAAGCTGCTGTGGCCACCGGCTCTTGTGGTTTCGGTTTTTCCGCACTCTCGGGGTTCCGCTCGCTCGGCACCGAGTCGTGCATGACGTCCCTACCGCTCTCCCTTTGCCTGCCCCGTCCCTACCGGCCAGCAATGGCACCTTGTCGCATTGCAAGATAAAGAGGAAAAAAAATTTTTTTTTTTAAAGGCAAGCAACTAAAGTGAATGGACCCCACTGGCAGAGATGGTAGACGTAGTGACACACAGACATACACGCAGGCGCAACAGGAAAAGAATCGTCATATGCCAGGCAAAGGCAAGAAAAACATATGATAGTCCCTCATGCGTTTATAATCCTGGAGAAGGACGACCACACTCTTGTTGATGAAGGCATAAAATGTGCGTATGTAAATACGGGAAGACGTAAGTAAGCACGGAGCAACAAGTGTTCCACCTCGTACTCTCTCACGCACACACTGACACGCAAACAACAACAGCAGCAGCAGCAAAAAAAAAAAGATAGATGCTTTGTTTCCTCGATTTTCTTATTTCCTCTGGAAAGGCAAAAGAGGGCCTTCACCCGCAAGCTTTTCCTGCCTCCTACTCTACACAAGCCAATCCACAGAGGAGTCCCATATGCACAAATATACAACCGCAGACTCACAGGGATGAAACTGCCAGCAGCGAGGAACATTAAAAACCACAGCGCACTAGCCCCTCTGCAGACACCCACGTGCATGCACAACATGCAGGACACAGCTGGAGGGCTTTTGTTGTCGGGTTTGCTTCCTTTCCCCGCTGCTTCTCTTGTCCGATGACTTCTCTCACCCACACTCCATTTGCTGCGTCTCTCACAACACTACTACCACCACCACCCTGACGTCTAATTCTTCTTCCACCAAATGGCCGCGCGAAGGCACGCAGACACCAACCCACAACAAAATCACGTGCGTACAAAGACCAAGCAGAGGAAAGAAGAAGCCGGTGCGTAACGTGGGAGGAGAAGGGTGAAAAAGGGGAAGAGGCACCAACCAGTCTCCGAACCACAGCCGTACATGCATGTCTCTGCATGTATGTGTGTGTGTGTGGCAAAAATGGAGGATGTGGCACGCCTCTATCTCCGCGGTGTTGTAGGCGCAAGGGGGCGAGTGATCGAATGAGTGCGTACGGGTGGAAAAAAAAAAATGAGTGGAATTCAGACAGGCATAAATGCAAAAAAGAAAAAAAAGAAATATGAAGGAAATGAGAAATCGTAGTGGTAGGGGTGTATCCATGGCAGCCATGCACATCCTTTATTGTATATTATATTGCTCGTCTTCCTCTTTGTTCCTTCTCAGCGTCCCCACCTGCAACAAAACTCTGAGAACGGGACACCCACGGCAGACGACGCAGCGTGCACACCGCCCAGCTACCCACAGTCACACACCACACCGACTTAGACTCACGACATTGTGTATCCATTATCAGGGAGGACGCGGCGCACAGGTGCGCCGCAGTTGGTGAATGTACGATGGGACGGGAATCCCCACAGAAAATATTTTAACGAAAAAATTTTGCATGACCCAGCCCCAATCCGCGCTGGGAACGCCATTTTGTGCCGGCCTAGTCACGGCTGGAGTTTCAACGTCTCCCGCATCTTCTCCCCCTGCATATATGTCTTCTTCCTCCTTAGGCATGAGACGGCGTAGTGTGGCGTCGGGTTCGGCAAGAAAAGCACGCTCCGCCGCTCCTTCATTGCTGGCAGAACCCCCTGCATTTGCAGGCTGCGGTGGAACAGGAGTGGCAGCTGTAGTAGTACTGCTGGTAGCATCACCAACTTTATTCGTGGCAGCAGCCGATGGAAGCACCGAGCGACGGTGCACCTTCAGCGGGGGAAAGTTGTGTACCACAAGTTCGGTGCCGCCCCTCATTAGTTGATACAGGAACGGAGAGATGGCGGCGCCGCTGCCCCCATTCCCACCAGGGCTGGTGGGAATGTTCGTCCCGGCTGGTGCGTGCACGGCGGGGTGAATGATTAAGGTGGAGTCTGCCGCAAAGGTCGCAGGATGTGTTTTTCCTGTGGCGCGAAAGCACACATACCACGTGGCTTCCACGAGCTCCTGCTTCGTCAGCCATTGGCGTCGCGCGTCGCGGAGAGACGTGTAGTAGGCAAACTTCCACGAAACCGGTAGCTGCAAATCCTCCTCGTCATCGTCCACATCGTTGCCTTCCTGCCTCAACCGCCCCACAGAGGAGGCACGGTGCAGCGCCTTTTGTTGGGCGTATTGCAGAACGCTGAGGGAGTGGGTCAGCGCCATTTCCTCCTCAAACTCCTGATACGGGTTGCTGTCACGTTTCTTGGCCGCTTCGTAGTCATCGTAGTCATCGATGTCGCCGAGATCACCAACGGAGTCTTCGGCATCCTCCACAGACGCGTCTCCCGTTTCTCTTTCAAAAGAACGCTGCAATCTCCGCCGGTCTGCGGTCAACACACACGCGGAAGGAAGCGCGAGAGGCAGTGGCGGGCCACTGTTAGTGCTACCGCTCTCACGTCTTGGGGGCAGAGCAAGACTTTCCGCGCAAAACCCCTGCCGCCGCGGAGTCGTCATGGGTTCTGCCTTACACGTACGACTTGTGGTGGTGGTGATAGTGGTGCTCACTTCATCATTGTCTTCGTCAAGCAGCTGGGAGCCTTCCTCGTCCCGACGCGGCAGACGGTTCGACTGCTGCATCTGCTGCGACTGCAACTGTAGTCGCCGTGCTCCCTGCTGAATGCGATACAAGTGCCGCTGCCGCTCGTCGGGGCCCAGTTGCCACCAGTACAGCTTCGTCGTGTGCGCAGCGGGCTTATTTGTGGCATCCGCCACTTCCGACATCGGCAAGACGCTGCGTCGGCGCACTGGCGATATCAACGACGCGGGTAGCTGCGGCGAGTTCGTCATGCTCATGATGGCTTTGTACGTCGGAGTGCTGGGAAGCGGGACACGACTCCACAGCTGCTGCGACGCGCTTCTCACCCCTGTAACAATACTGTCGCTGTCGCTTGCTATGGTGGTGATTGACGCGGGCTCGCTTTTACAGGCACGCCCAGTCCAACACGGCGGCGGCAACTGTTGTGGATTGTGGTGCGCCCGTTTCCAAATTTTTTTATCTCTCGCCTCGCTTTTCGCTTCGCCGCCTTGCAGCATCGTCCACTCCAGCATTGTGGCGGCGGCGTTGTCGCTCGTGTGTGCATCAATCAACATTTGCTGCTGCAGGGCGATAACCTCCAACTCCTCGCGCCGACACGACTCCTCCGTCGCAGCCCACATATCCGCCACGCCTGCAAGCCCCTGCTTGCCGCGCCAGAGGGAAAGGCAGGCGGCTCTCCAGGCGGTCCGGTCCGACTCACTGACAGCACGGTAGAAACTATGAGAGACACCGAGCACCGTGCACAGGCCCTCCGTCTGAAGGAAAGTAAACACCACATCGAGCACTGACACCGGCAGATTATCTACGCTACAGTGGCACATGTGAGATGGCGCTGCTGCATGGCATGCATGCCCTGCCTCGACGTGGATCACGTCGGATACCCCACAGTTGAAGGACGCCGTGTATAGTGTGAGAGATTGGGAGGTGCGGCAGACCACGGGGCCCCGAGCCTGGCGCTCGTCCCGTCCGCTCTCGCTGTGGCAGCTGCACACACACCTCCCGCCTTGACTACCATCCGTTGCGGATGCCTCGGCTGCGGCAGTGGCACCACAGACACTACCGCTGTCGGTGGAGGAAGGCGTACTGACGCCTCCCATGGGCTCTGCCTCAGAGTGGTGTCCGTTGTTATTTCCTTTGAAACGTGCCGGTTTCCTCCTGCTATTCTTCTCTGCGTGCGTGCTTGCTTGCTAGCTTGCTGCTGCTGCCTCTATAGGAATAAAAACAAATAGACACCTCAACACCTCAATGGCTTCCTCACCTTCTCTTTCTTTTTTTTTACGCTTTATATCTTCCACTTCTTTTCTGCGCTTGCTACCCGATTCTTTATTTTTCTCCGTTTTTTTTTTATCTTGGTTTTCTTTTTTGTCCCTTCCTCAGATGCTTTGGTTTACTACTCCCGCCTAGAGTCACAGCAGGCGCTGATTCCTCCTTTTGCCTCTTCCCTCCTGTCTCTGCTACACACCTACACACGTCGCGTCGCTCAGCGGTACACTTGTAGGGAGGGACAGACACACAGCGGTGATGGTCAGTGGTAGCGGGCACCCGCGACAACCGCAAAAGGAGAAGACGAGAAAGCGGAAAAGGATGCACCAGCGAGCGAGAACACAGACACACAGAGAGAGGGAGCGAGGGAAGGAGGGAAAGAGCGAGAGAAGGGTGGGAGAACAAACACAGCGAGCGGCAGAAACACACGCATGCATGCATACGTGCACCATCTCTCTCTCTCTCTTCCTCCCTGTTGAGGCGACATGGAAGGGGAGAGCAGAGTTGCTCCAGGCACCACACCCGTGGCACATCCCACGTTGTGCGTATGCACACACGTAGACACATACATATATATGCATGCAGGCTACAACGTTACCCGGGAAGAGGTACGGAGGAGAGGCGGGGCGGGTGTACTCGCACAAACAACCCCCTCCCCCCCCNCNCCNNCNCNCNCNCNCNCNCCCCNCACACACACACACACACACACACACACACAC